GGATCTACAAAGAACAGCTTTGCTACATTGCTTATATGTTCTCATCTGGCAGAGCATTGCATCATTTAGAAAAAGCCCTGTATTGTGGGTAGACCTTGTCTACTGAAGAGATACTGCTTTGTAGGAATGAGTGCTTTGGTTGTGGGGGAGTCTATGTGTATCTTCTGTATAAGTGTTTCTTTATATATTTTGAGACACAATGCCTAAGAATACAGCACAGAATATGATAATGCTAAATACAGAAAACGATGTTTGACTATGATCTGTATTTTTAATCTCATTTCAGGAGAATGCCAAAACCAAACTTCAGCAGTCAAATCCATCTGTATTATTCCTCATGACAGTATAAAATAGTGAGACAGTTCCACAAACTAGATTAAGAATCATAGTTTATATTGCAACATAAAATTGCTGAAATTGTGTAGAAATCTGTATTGTGGATCATAAATTAATGCAAAAACTCCAAGCTATTTTTTTCACTTTGTCTGTTTAAGCTACTGGGCAAGTTGTTGCATGAATAAATATATTTTGTTCCTCTGAAACTGTGTAATATTAAATGCTGTGTTGTTGGCATAAAATATAAGTTGATCAGACAGACAAAGATTATTATTCTGACAACAGCATACACAAGGGGATCATTGTACATTGAATTTCAGTGTGTAATATGGTATAAATCTTCATGAGATGCTCAACTTTTATTGGCTGCACAGAAGGTGCTTTTCCTTATTAAATATGGGAGATGGTCCCAGGGGATTTTTTTAAAAAATATCTTTATCCATTTTTTGCTTCTAGTCTGGGCCCTGGAAGGCTGACAGATACAGCTGGGTAAGCATTTCTCGTTTGAACACTTGACTACAGGCAGTCGTGCTTTAGCACTCGAGCCCCTGTAATGTTTTACCTTGGCAGAAATTGTCAAATCCTACACAAACTCCACCTTTCCCATTCCATAAATGGATGAAATGGATGTGTGTGAGCTCCATCTACATCCTGTAGGACAAAAAAATAGCTTAATTTTGCAAAAGATTACCAGTGAAGCACTAAAATGATAGCTGCTTGGATTCTGCACTTGTGTTGTTCCTTGCTGTCATTGACTACCAGGGCACTGATAGGCACCCTCACTGCTGTGCCCTGCACAAAATGAAGGAGCATGGGCACCAAGTAAGATGCCCTCATCTTGAACTTCTTGAATTTAAACTATTTGGATTATGTTGCTGGCCAAAGCCAGTATACTATCTCTTTGTTAAACATAAGTGATTGGGAGAGTGCTGTAAATAGATAAACATAGCTCCCTAAGGTAGTCAACCTAGTCCAGCTTTACACAGAGTATTAGCAGTACCATGCCAATTACCTAAGTGCCCAGCTGACAAACTGAAGTTTAAAATTAAACATTGTGTGTGGGCAAATCCAATGCAAAAGCTTTTGTAACAGAAAGCATGCTAGATTGTTAGGCCAAACTGAGAGTTCTAAGGATATAGTGCAAACCTGAACGCTTTGCTCCAGTTAATAGTGAATAAAATACCAATGGATTCACTGAAATTGAAACAGTAGAGCCACTCTACGTGAAAACCTTAGCTACTCAACTACAGAGTGATGGTTTTGCTTACACTGAGTTAGTGGAAATCTTAAAAACAGTGAATTTTATGTTATCTTACTTCTTCCACCTTTATTAGTCAGGTAAGTACTAATCAATTAGGAAGACTATGGACAAAGAGATTTACTTCATTCTGAATTGATGAAACGGACATCCCTCCATAGATTTCAATGTTAAATGGAACAAGTCACTTATTTAATCTCAGTTTCTCCAATGAAAACAAGGTAGAGCACCAATGTGATGGTCATTGAAGACACGCACATCTATATTTTATATATGCATACATACATGTCTCATTATCCCAGAGTGGCTAAGGTCACTGGTGAGGAAGGCTCACTACGCTCAGACCTGATGCATGTGTCCTTTCTTTAGGTCAGACAAATTCAGGGCTCATTGCTAGAATGCCAAATACTTAACTACTTTTTTTTTCAAAATTATTGTTCTTCATTATGAGAAGTTGTCAGTTGTGATATTTCAGACCCTTTTAGAGCCCATATGAAAAGAATTGCCAATAAAACTCAGATGTACTTTTTTTTTCTTTCCTTTTTTTTTTTTTCAATTAATAACATCAAAGTCTGAGCAGCTGCCTAAAATCTTTTTTTTTTTTTTTTTTTTATCCAGGTACTTTCTGTTACAGCTTTATAGCTTAGTGCACTTAAAATTTTAGGCTATACCAGTATTTTTTATATCAGTACTAACTATAAAATCTATATGCATTGCTTTTATAGCATAAATTAGGACTGTGGAATTATTGTTACAGGACACATTATTAGTGTTGTCTCTGTACTACCTGTTTGTGTATTACTGCATCAAGAAAGAGTAACAGTTCTAGGAAGGATGGAAAACCATCCTTTCACCATCCAAAGGGCTAAGAAACTGCATATGTCATTTTCAAAATTATCTATCACATGTAAAGTTAAATTGGGTACAGCTAAATAATAAAAGTAAGTGCATTTTTTAGGTGCTCTTCAAATGAGGTCATGGTGTTTATGAATTTCCAAGTATTACTCTGGGCTCCAGAAACTCTAGTGGCAATCCATGGAACAATGGTGAGAAATGTCTCTCACGCACACACATACTCATAGTCAATTTAAAAAATGCATGAAGCATAACTTGAAGGATAAATCACATTTATGGTTCCCAAAGTATTTTTTTAAATGTGTATGAATGGGTATCTATCTGTGAAAACTATTCTGATTAGGAAATGGTAAACAATTGTGTTAATTTATTGTGAATATATGTTATTTACCATTAATTACACCTAATTTTAACCTCCTTCAGCTGCCCATCCTCATCAGCTTTTAGGCAAGTCAGTTTACACCATTTCTTTATTCTTTGCCAGCACCTCTATACACCAGTCCCAATATTATTTATCATTATCTTATTATTTATTTGCAGCTTATTCATACTGATTTTCTGCTTGCAAAGCTTTTATAATTTGAAATTGCAGACCAGAAATGCAACTGCTTCTGCAGACTCCTCCCTGTAAACAGTAACAGTCCTGTGGAAAGGATGGACTTCGAATGTCACCTGTTTCTGGCAATTACAGCTGCCGTAGCCTAAGACACTGCCCTTTTTAAACACAGATTTTCAATAACAGTACTGCCTTCTCTGAATTTTCTTTCTGTGCTTGGATTTCTGAAAACCCTCCAGGTTGGCCTCACTGCATGTATTTGTTGTACGCTCTGTACCCCCCTGGAAGGACAGGACAGCCAGCAGACATCGTGAGAATTGAGGGGCAGCATTTCTTGTGCAAACACTGATCCAACTAGAACACTTCAAAAATTTGATCCAGGAGGAGAAATGATCACCGAGGCTGCTCTCCTTCAGGGTGTCTGTAAATCAGAATAATAGCTCTTGAGTTATTAGCTGGTTTTGTTTGGCATTCATCTTCTAAAGTTACTGCCAAAGGCATAGAGGCAGAAGAAAGCATAATACCACATTGATAAATACATGTCATTTCCCCTTCCTTCCCCCAGAATTGTATAAAATGGAAAGGCATAATTGGAATGTTAGTAAATATAATGGATCAGAATTTATTTAATTATTTATTTATTCCCATATTGAACCTTTGCAACATCAGATTTCAAACTGAAGTGAATGACTTTCATGTCTGATTTATAAAATTTTCACATGAAGAATGTACAGTGGAAACAAAATAAATGCTTATTTGGCCGTAATTTTTCAGTTGTGAGAACTGATCAGATTAGGAAACAAACAGATGAGAAAGCAAGCTACGCCTGCAAATAGAATGAGTTTGTCATCTTGTGAACTGTGCATCTTCCATTGGCCAGTGGGTGGGATGGGGATGCCCATGGGGTCTTGTGTGACTCTTCCATTCCTCTTATGTCCCCTTTGCCACCATGGTGTTTGTGGCTTTTAGCTTGTTCTTATATCTCATCTACAAAACTTGAGCATGGGGCAGCGCAAAGAAAAAGGTACTGAGCAGCAGAGTTACTACGCATAGCAATAATGTCTCTAAGGTAAATTTCAGATGGTAAAGCAATTCACACTAAAACATTGCTTCCAGTTTATAATTCAGTGTTCCTGTTTTTCTCTGGTGGGAGAAAGTTCTAAGATTTAAATTTGATGCACATTATTATTTTTGTCTCTGGGCATCTTTATGAAACTCAAATCTGACAGAGGCTTGGTGAATAGCTGGGAGATTTGGACTGGAAGGCTTTTCTGCCACCCTTCCCCCATACATTAAATCATAACGATGTGCCTTTATTTTATCCTTTTGATGATAGAGTATATTAAAACCAGAATTAAGGCTGTATTCAACTCTTTTCAATTCGCAATGCAGTGTGTGATAAACTATAGTTAAACAAGAGCAATTAGCAAATGATTTTGCTATTTAGAAGATCGTTTGCCAAATATGTTACCACACTCTTTTTCCATAACTGTATTTTCCAATATCAATTAGGAAATGGCCATAAAGATTCCCAGCTACTGTTCATGAAAACTTAATGTACAGAGCTATGATAGTTGCACTGAGATAACGTGTACAAAGAGGGATGGCAGAAGAGGAGACTCGCCATATCGGGTGAAACCAAAGGGCATCTCCCCTGGAGTATGACAAAGGAAAAGTAGGATCAACATCAAGGCTACATATGTCTGAGCCTAGAAATCCATGAGGACATTTAAGCCAAAGGCTGTATCTGTGTGCTTAATCACCCTAGACAGCTTTTGCTTTTTTTTTCCTTGCCTGAATTTGTGAAATCACTCTGATTGGATGCAGGCTATCAATAGCTCTCCATCAGAAAGGATTGCTTCCTTCTCTTGCTTTACCCTGATACCTGATACTTTCACTTGGTAGCGCTCAGTTCTTGTATTTAATGCCAAATAGTAATTTTCTGGTCATTTTCTTTGTGGCATTAATGATTAAATGTACATTTTTCTCTCACAGGAGCTGACCACAGTTGCCCTTATTTTCGTGGATTCACTTTATGGCCAGTAGCATGGGATGGTGATTTCCTTCAGTCCTGGAGATAAATGATGCTTTTGGGAGGCAGAGAACCAAGGGTGAGGGCTTTCTTCTTTTCTGTCCTCTTTCCACTGCCATGCAACAGTGAATTAGCTCATAGCAATGCCAGAAGCTTTGGGCTGAGGATCTGGAGTGTTACAGAACCAACTACATGCAAAATTTTCGGGAAGGTTCTGGTTGTGAAATGCCTGATTTTGGTGGGAAAGACCTTGACCTTCTTAGATTTAATTAAAAAGAGGAGGCTTAAAAGGAAGGGATCCTCAGTGGTGCTTCCAAGAGTCCAACAGCAGCTTATTACTGTGTTAGAGTTCATAAGAAATAAGCACTAAATTGTACAAACTTCAGATCTAGTGCCCTATTAGAAGTGAAGTAAGTCTCAGAAGTGAAAAGAGTATTTTACAAAAAGAAACAAAAGTAACCTCAAACAATGGTGTCACCAAAGAACAACTCCCAAGATATGTGTGTATCCATGAAAATGACTCCTGGAGTCTTTCCAAAATCACTTCTGGCTCTGTGTAAATCAGGGAGACGTATGCTTATGCCTATGAATTGTTTAACTGTAGAAATGTCTTTTTCTCCTATATAACAGATGCACAAAGGGAATAGGAATGTTTTATAACTTCAGGCTTTTAAATAATAAATAAATGGCTTACATTCTCAGCTTGAGAAGTCCTGATGTTTTGCGTAATGTATAATACTGAAGTATACAAATATTTTTTAGGAAGAATTATTTTCCCTTTTTAAAAGGAATATAAAACCTCAAAAATAAGATAAAACATCACAGTCTGTTTCTAAATACTTTGCATCTTAATATGGTTGAAGTTCAGGCAGTAAGTAATTTCTGAGTTTTTCCCTTGAGCTGCATAGTTCTTTTCATATGTAATTATTCTCTGAGTGCATTAGATAATGCTATGGTTCCCACAGCTGTATACACATCTATAAATCATTAATGAGGCAGTTAACTGAAACAAAACTATAAAAGATTTGCATTACCCGGCAGAACCCAGCCTTAATTGACTTCCAGTTATTTACAATTAATTTTTCCATTTGGAATAATGATTGCGAGTAACTTTTGATTTTTTTTTTTTTTTATTATTACTCAGGAATTAGATGCTGACTATTCATCAAAAGTTTTTACAACAGGACCCTATCAGTGGACAGTAATGAGCTTGAGGTAATCTTGTTGTTATGCACACGTATACACTTATCCTCCCACAACTGGCAGAGGAAACAGGGGTGGAAGCAGGGGGATGCAGTAAAATGGGGACAGGAGTACGTGCAAACTTTTTTTTTTTTTTTTTTAATCACATAACTAAGTTTATCAACAATCACTTTCCTTTTCTAATTTCAGCATCTAGCTGAAAACCAGCACAATTAATAGAGCTGGCTACAGCTCTAGATAGAATAAACTGTGTGCATGAGGACTGAGTAAATATTTCTATATTTCTATTTTATAAGACTATAAGATAGACGTTAAGTGATAAATAATGCAAAAGCTGTTAAGTAAATATTAATCCATTATGCCATTTAAAATATGACTTTTATAGAAATACAGCACACAAAGTAAATCCTTGTTAGCATGTCATTATTTGAGCAAGTCACAGGCAGTGAGGCTGTGAGATGGACCCTGGACATATACAACTAAAGATCTGCTCTCTCTGCCACGTAAGCATAACTCTCATTGACATTAATGGGCTGGGGATGTGTACATCAGGAAGGGATGTCATGTTCAAATTCCTAATAAAACTTAAGCCCAAAAGAGACAGAGCCCATTTGCAGCAGCTGATGTTATCTTCATTATCTTTCAATCTTTAATTTTCAAAATGCTTAAGCAGTTAGATCCCATCAGTAGTAACTGCTGGTCATTTCTCTGTTTCTAAATCATAGCTGTAAAACCTGACGTGTCGAGGTGCACTCCACTGAATCTGCTGTCTGTGGGAAACAGTGCTTCTCTGAGACTTCAGCAAACGATACCTCTTTTCCCCTCGCTACTTTTACTGGGTACCAGATGCATAAATAGCTGTTTGGGCCTGTTTCTCTCCCCCCACCTCACACTTCCATTTGTAAAAATTGGGTAGGTGGGCTGAGCAGAGCAAGGAACTGAAATCAGCATAAGTGGGCGCAGAAAGGGGCAGCTGTGATGAGCATTAGGAGCTTTGACTTCTCTGTAGGTTTTGTAGGCCAAAAGACGCACACTGGTAAATATGGAAGAGCTTAATTCTGAGTGACAGTAAAGCTAGCAGCTGCTTTCTTCACCTTATCAATAGGTGCCAGTGAAAGGCCACTACAATTGATCTCAAAAATGTGGGCCCCGTGACAATCAAACACTCGTAACCTTGAAAATCTTGCAATCTAGTGCTGAAGTAATTTTTTTTCCCAGGTTATGTTCCGCTGGATTATGTTACGATGTGTAATGTAAAGTAACGTGACAAGACTAGACATGGGTCATTCAGTCTGTCAGTAATTCAGAGCTCGGCAAATTCGCCCTCCCTCTTCACCAGTCCATGAACTTCACAGATACTTAACTTATTCATGCTACACTAGCTACCACATCATTTTAGCTGGAAAAGCCACTGTGATGTGCAAAATCCGAGAGGCTTTTCTTTTTGAGGTTGGGCTGGTACCAGATGAGCAAACAGTGTCATTTTCATTAAGCTATCACATCCTGTCAACACAACATTGGCAATTACATTTCAAATAATCGCATGGTTGACAAATGTATAGCATCATTTAGACTATCATCTTTTGAATGTGTTCATGATCTTTCTTTCTGGGCTTGATTTCCTGGGGTAGGGAAGGTTTTTTTATTCTTTTTAAAAACAGATCTCTAATTTTTTATGCTTATACATGATATTGCTGACATTCCCCTCTTCCCTACCGCTCCCCCCCCCAACTATTTTAATAATTCTAGAACTGAGAAGCCCACCACATTCCAGAAGGTATTAAACTGATCCATCCCTTCTTTCTCATGTTTATTCTGAACAGAGTGTGTTTCTACCTATTCCCCAGAACAGTGTAAGAGAGATACCAAGGCCTTAGGGTTTCTTGGAGGTTTTCTTTGAAGAAGCCACAAATAATTTCAGCTAAAATAGAACTTTCATTTGTTGAAAATTTCTGTTTATTTGAAAAACTATTAACTATCAAAAATATGCAATTTACTTACCAGCTCTGTTATAAATCAAGAGTCTTAGTCCTGCAGTGTTTCTCATCACTATAGCAGACTTCTCATTTTTCTGTGACTCCTTGCAATATTATGAGCATGGTCTGGTTTTGATTTGGTTTCAGAGCCAGTGTCTGTGAATTAAACACAACTGCTTTTCTTTTTTTTTTTTTTTTTCCTCCAAGTTAATGTGAGCGGAACATAATAAATATTAGAAGAAATAAAGAATTACAATAAGGGTGTGAGGAATTCATTTGTTCCTTTGGAATGTAATCTCGTTATTAAACTACCAGGAAAAAGCTATGAAAGGAATCAGTGATTTTTCCACTGCTTTGCACATTGTAGAGTCATTTCAACATGCATAATATGGGTGTCAAATGCTAATAAATCAGCTGTCAAATGCTATCAAATACTTGAACAGGTGTAAATGATCACATAAAATGCAAAGTACTGATCTGACACCAAAAATCTCTGGTTACAGTTCCTGTCTTCATCGGTTCTGTAGAACTATTAAACAAACAAACAAACAAAAAACAAACAAGAACAAACAAAAAAAAACAAAAAAACAACAGTCCAATCGGGACAATAAGGTGTTTAGCTAGGTTACTAGCTTTTTTTTTTTTGGTCTGTTTTCCTACTTCTAGATTTTTTTTCCCATCTGACGCCAAGGGAGAGAATGCAACAATTTAAATGGCAATGCTTTGGACTGGTCTACTAAGAAAAACATTGTGTTTTGTAATACTAAGAATGATAAAACATTTTTCCTGCCAAAACCTCTCTGTAAGTGCCCCAGCATCATCAACTGATGGCAGCACAGCTCTGGGAATAAACAGACTTCAACTAATGGCAGGAATCAACAGGGGAAACATGAAACAGGTATTTCCTCTTCATACACAGTGAAACAAGGTTAAAGTTTATTCTTTGTTTCTGTTTATTCTGTCTTCTCAACAAATTCATTATTTCATGAAAATAAAAAAAAATAAAATAAAGATTTTTTCCTTTGTATTTGGCCACTTTGGGGGAGCGGGTGGCACATTCATTTTTGGCCTGTGTCCTTTCAGTCATAAGACAAAGATTTGAGGCCAAGGCGAGGTGCTGCAATGAGACCGGCGTGGGCTCTGCTGTCTGCCTGTGTGCAGCCCCCAATGCCGGGTGGGCAACGTGCTTTGGTCCCCAGCACTGCTCTGCCTCCAAAGGGCTTCTGCGTTCTGGTGCCATGCACACATGAGTGTGATACTGTAGTGTGTTTACGCTGTGTTTATGTGTGGCTGCATGCTCGGAGAGCACTCAGTACTCCAAGAGATTCTGCATTGCAATATTTATTATGAAGGAACTGTAATGCAGACTTCATTAGGAAGAAACCATGCATTCACCCAACAATTCAAAATGGCTAACTTCCACACATAGTCTTATTTCAGACCTTTATGAAAACTAACTATGTGTACATCAGTTAGGCTGACTGGAGGACAGAATAGGAAATTAGAGATTTGCCGGTTTTGTATAGCTCGAAATGAACTTACCATTTCTCTAGATGTTTTGTCTCCACCATCCCTCTGATCACACCAAGTTATTCCCAAATATTGGACATTTACTCTGTTATTGGGAACAGCAGGCATATGCATAGCCTTATCCAATCACGCTTGTTTTTTAACACTTCACATTTTACACACTGTTTCTTCATAGAGCTGGATTTGTCTTAGAGGTAAGATCTGCAATTAGCTGGGCAGGTACACTCGTCACAGAGAGCACACCAGCAAGCTGTGAAGTCCATTATAACTTTGAAACACCATGAAGAGCAATTATATTTCAGGGACAGCAAAAACTTTTCCTTTTTCCACAGCTAACCCCTCTTGTAGACAGCCAAAGCAAAGAGCTGTTACATAGTGAAAGGGATCCACTACTCAGTGAATACACATTCCAGCGTAACTTTTGTGCAACTGATGCATGTATTTTCAAAGAAAGCCCCAATGCGTCTAAAAAGTTGAAGTACTATATAAGATTCACGCCCCCCCCCCCCCTTTTATTTTTTGGTATTGGTTATCATAAGAGCATTTTAATATATAATTCTGTGTTCATATTCATAATTTTGGATTATGTCAACAGTCACATAATGAAGATATAGTAGAATCTTACCATACTGCTAAATGGAATTCAAAATAATAGTACTTCTTTATTTTAAAAAATGATCTCCAATAAGATTTTTTTCCCTTCCTTAGATTGCCACACTCCAATTTTCATGCAAAAGATGATCTATTAAGCACAGTGTTAGCTGGCAAACAGAAGCAGAAGTGGATGATATAATAGAAAGGGAACAAGTCGCAGTGTTTGTGCTGTACTGACACAGAATTCATTCATTTCAGTTTATTTTTTGAGGTACGAGTGTAAAAGTATAGCAATTTGTAAGTCATCTATAGAGTCAGAATTTTAAAAATACTTGTTTTTCCTCTCCTTTTGTCCCAACTTCAAGCAGTCAAAGATGCCCTTATTTGCAGACAGAACTAAAGTCAATTCTTTTCTTAACGGTGATTTTTACAAGGCCCTAAACATTTGTGGTACACATAACAAATAATTACAGCACATGGCCTGGCTTTAAAAAAAAATTAATGGCAAAACACCCTGCAAATCCCTTTCCCTCTCCATGCCTCCCCATGGCAGCAGGGGACAGGAGCACGGGCAGGATGCTGTGGTGCGGCGGCAGGAAGAAGAAGTGGGAGAGCAGCAGGAAGCCTGGGGGTCAGGACTGCTGCCAGAGGTAACGGAGCCCCAGCCCGGGGCCAGCAGGACTTGGGTGCGCTCATGTGGAGCCCAGTGCCCAGATACACAGCAGCGGTTGTGGAGCTCGGCTGAGGCTATGAAGGAAATGTGTAACAATTTGGGTTAGCCCACATTTTGTCATGTTACCAGAAATATTTTGTAAATAAATATATTAATGGGCCACTTGTAGATAGCAATTACTTAAGCCAGCATTCAGCTTTTAATGCACTGCCATGCATTTATAACGGAGAGTGTTCTCGCTGTGTAGTACTATAGATCGAGATTTTAAATTGAGATTGGTCACTATTGATTCCGTTAGTTTATTATGATAGCAGTCCGCATTGCACAGGATTCATAAAATTGCTGGAATACATCGTCCATTAACTTGCCTGCATTTAGCCCAGATCACCTTGTGCCCAGCTACCACCTTCCTTGGCACGACGCCATCTCGGAGGCAATCCCCGACCAAGGAGCTGCTTTGTAGGGAACCGCAGCAGCTGCAGATGCTGGGGGCAGCCCCCTGCCACCTGAGTGTCCCCCAGCCTGTGCCCCACAGCCTCACCTGCTCTGCCCACGGTGTGATGGCATGGGCACGGCCGAGGCCCAGGCTCCTTTCAGGCGTTTGCAGAGTCTCTCTTGGCAATGCCCCTCAGGCTGCCAGGTCAGTGGCTGTAGCCAGCAGGGGCTGCTCAGCTCACAGCGAGCAGGAGAGCGGTGAAGGCAGAATTTCCTCCTGCTCTGGGCTTGCTCTGCCCCTGGCTGGAGGACGTGGTTCCCCCAGAACAACCCCGCTCAGCTTGTTCCACTGCTTAAAAGACAGGATGAGAAAGGAGGGTGCTCACTGTAGCCAGATGTGAAATTAAGGCCATGAGGAATTTAAGCTTTGTGTTCCTGTGTTCGCTGTTCTGTATCACCATGCAGCAATGAGCACATGGGGTAAAGCAGTGTGCTGAAAACCGCACACGCTGGCCTGTACTGGACACAGAACCACACCAGACAGGGAACAGTTACTTTCCTGTTCTTTACAGCTTGTATTTACATATAAAAGGCAATTAATTCTCCCCCTAATCTTGTTTTTGAGTAAACAACCCCATCTCATTCCACCTTTTAATGACAAGAGAGACCTGGAAAATAGGACATGAATGCAATTTCCTCCTTGCATCCCTTTTTGTGCTCAGTTGCAATGCCTGGAAACAGACGAAGTATACACTGAGGCATTTTACACTGCATGAAAGACAAGAAGACACATGCTGTGTCGGTCCTGTTCCCCAGACCTCTGCGTGTCCAGTGCAAAGGATGTTACAGAGCTGCAGCCTACGAGGGCCTGGTGTGGCCTGAGCAGCTCCTCAGCTGCACGCGGCCTCACAGCAGCAACCACAGCCCAGGCAGGCTGCACCAGGCCAAACACCGACGTGGAAGTCCTGGGGTCGGTGCAACGGCCCTGTCAGCTAGGGCCCTGTGCAGGAGGATGTCACTGGTATTACCAAGGAGGTGATAGGAAGTAATGTGAAAGAAAGAAAATTTGCCATCTCCACTTTTTTAATGTAAAAAAACCTCAGAGGCTTGGTTTGTCAATATTTACCAGGGGCTACCTAATAAGGACTTAACAAAAGATTCAGTCTCTGAAGTTTATCAGTTCCCTAAATCTCATTTGCCAGTACTTTGACATTTAAAACTATTCTGGGAAGGGCAAATTAGAAATCAATGAAATCATCAACCCGGCATCAATGCAGCTTTAAGAAATGTAGATCAGCCACTCAAGGAAAAAAAAATGCTAAAATTGCTTTTATGGAGACCAAAGAAAAACGCAAAAAATGCTAACAGTTCAAAGACTGAAATATTTAATTACTTTAAATCTTTCTAAAAAATGCAAGATAGCGGGAACTTGTCAAAGAGCTATCTTCAAAATCTGCAATTCCTTAGAGCAATACAAGTGTTCATTCAGTCCATCCATCAGAAACATTGCAGTATCCCAAGGACTGTTTTAAGTCCTTTTTTAAAAAAATAAGATATAGAAATAGGGTCTGTCTATAGAAATAGTCCTGATGGAGTAGAAACTAAAATTAATAAGTAATCACAGAATTTAATTTCAGGTGCTGCAGCACACTCACTCATGAGCTTTTATTAAGAGTGTGGCAGCACTCACAGTTCACAGCACTGTCTTCATGTCATTCAATTTTTGGTCATTTAATCACTGGTAGTGTCATTAATGCAGTTATTAGAATGCTTGCAATACAACTAACATGGAATAAACCATGTTTGTACATTGTAAGATGTGGTAAACTATTCTGATAATTAGTTTGATTAGTTTGATCACCTGTAAACTGGAGACAAGCATGTTTTCTTTAACTAATACCTAGGTTAAGCTAAAAGGTTTCTTTTAGGAAGGAAAAAACAGATGATTTTCTTTCTGTTGTATTATTACATAATGATTTGAAATTACACTTTTAAAGTTAGGTAAAGTCTGTTAAAACAAGACATATAGAAAAAAATAGTGATAGAAATAGAACTTTGACCAGTATACACATGTATAGTAGCATGCATATTTATAGGAAATACATTCCCCATAGATCTATTTAAAGGTGTTTGTTTTGCTTTAATTGATAGTGATTTAATTCAGGGTAAGTGCATATAAATTTAAGCATGCACATATAAACTTGAGTTTATAAGCGTTGTGCCTTTGACCCATGAATGTAGAGAGTGACCAGGTGATTACTTAATTCCACTTGACTCAAACCAACTTTCAGTCACCTATTTTGTGAAAGGAATCATAGAATGTTTCAGTTAATTGCAAAGTTTGGAATTTGCAACATAAAATAATTAGGAAAATGTTTGATACCAACCCACCCTCTTTATTAAGTAATTTCTTCAAGTATTTTTAATAGTGCAAAATATTGTTTTGCATTAGTACAATAACTATGGGAATTCACAGTCAAAAAAAAAATCTTAAAAGATTTCCAAAGTCAAACAAAAAAATTTTAATACTGTATTTTTAGCAAGAACATTTTTAACAAAGAATGTGTACTTTAACTTAATATGGTACAACAGAGAAACCATACTTAAAAGTTTCCATTATCTAACACTCTACTGCATATTCATTTTTTCATCTTAAAAGACCAAAAGCCAAGCTGAACTGAGCATAAAAAAGCATCAATTATAATCCTTGTATTACGTCAGCTATTAGGGTTTAGCTCACACTTTTGAATTGGTCATCTAATGAAAGGACAATTTTTACATCATTCTTTTAAAAAATGTACACACATTTCTTTTTAAAACGTAATATATATCGAGTATCTGCTTCAGTAAACAAAGCTTAATTTATAAACACAATCGAAACAGCTCCATGTTGAACAGTTTCAGTGATAAACTGGACTTGTATGATGTACAGCCAGTGAGGACCTTCGTGGCTTAAAATCATTGTGCCATTGCTATACAGTAATAGCTACCTCCTTAGGAAAAAAAAAACAAAACCAAAAACAAAATAACAAAAAAGAGTTCCTTTTGGGGGGAGGGGAACGGAGCGGGGGGGGGGGGGGGGGGGGGGGGGGAATAATTCCTGTATGTGCTTAAAAATACTAAAACTCCTTTCTATCTCCGGGGACCTAAAAATGATCTGTTGCAACAGGCTTGGTTTGGTATGGTAAGCTTGTAAAAAGTCTCAATATTTCTTAATGACAATACGGCAGTTTTCGATGCAGCAACAGTAAATTGCTTGAAATTGTCCTTCAAGTTTCATGCTACAAATCCTGTTCTTCACACAGTACTGAAGGCATCAAAGGTTGGAAGGGACGTTTTTCATGAACTATATAGTCTTCAAATAGTGATCATTATACATTTTTCAACAATAGGTGTTTCCTTCAGTACATAATAGTAGGTTTGATGTATGTTCTGTTTTCTGGAGAGAAAAAAAATGAAGAAGAAGAAAAAAGGTCAATTACAGAGTTACACATTTTAGAATTATTTGAAACTTGAGTGAGTTTCCTTTATTTGTTTGTAGAGGGCTTTTGTTTGTTTTGTTTTGTTTTTCTCAAGGCAAATCATCAAATCTACAAGTGATATAAACTGAGTTTACGACAACATTTAGCATTGGAAAAACAGGCACCTGCTGACAAAGCCTTGCAAAGCCCTTGGTAAGTGAGGTTTGTGTTACGCGAGCAAACGAGCCTGTCTCAGTGCACTGGTACTTCGGTCCTGATGGCACAGGTACAGGCACTCAGCTGGGCTAAACTTACAATAGTTTCTTGCACCAATAAATATTTCCAGGGTCGTGTGACAGTAGTTTTCCAAGAACTGATGTCATCCTTATCCCTGCTTTGTGCGTGGCTCAGTACCTGCCCCCAGTGCCTCCGGGCCCCGAACCACTCACTTCCAACCGTGCCAGCCAGCCGGCAGTTGCCGAGCAGAGGCTGCAGATATTTTGATTTGCATTTCCCTCCTTTGTGACATTTGTTTTTGAACTGAGGGCAGCCTGTGCTGTATCACACGCCTCCGTAAGACAGAGGAACATGGCATCAGCTTTACAGCACGCCATCATTCCATGCGCAACCCCTTCTAGAGAACTGTGCATTAAAATAAAACTGCACCGTGTTAAAAAATGAAACGGAATATCTGCTTTTTGGAAAACTGTTCTTTCGTTCAGAAACCTACGCGTTTCTTTTTAAATTATTTTTCTTTATTTAGGGAAATAAATAGAAAGCCACTTACTTCCTTTATCAAAATATTCCTAGTTACACTACCCATCAAATGTGATTTTTCACATTAAGCAACTCTACGCTCAGAGAAAAAATAAATATTAAATTGCCCACAGAAACTAAAGCTAACAAGAATCCATATTCTTGTTCATTATACAATGAATCACGAATTCACCCAGCTAAACCCACAAGTGCTGATTTTGAAGATGATAGCAAAATGATAATATTGAGAAGCATTTTGTATAATGTTGACATCTATCCCATTACTGTTTTACATATGCCAATACTGAACACTCATAAGGAAAGAACAAGTATTGACCTGCTAACTGACACTGATCCTTGGAGCAATCTCAAAGTTTGCCACATTTCAATTTCAAAATGCATTTCAGCTATAATATGAGTGATTTATCATTTAGCAGTAGCTGTCAAAGTAACCTCCTAGATAAAACAAAAACATCTGGAACCATAAACAGAGGAGAGCAGTAGCTGAATTTTAATCCAAATCCGACATGTTCACTTCATTAGGAACAGGAAACAGCTAATTAGTAATTGAATGTTTCATGGTTTTAAGGAGGCTCAGGCTCTCCAAACAGAGATGATTTAATATGTATTTTGGATGTAAACAAGAATAAAGATCGGAAGAGCCAGGGACAGAAGATATCCGAAGGAATGTTTGGGAGCCTGGGAACCTCCAAAGAAGTGACTAAAATTAGTTTCAGACCTTTGGCTGATTAAAATTATTGTCTTAAGATTTATTGTTGCAAATATTAAAGCCTGGGGAGGGGGGTAAGCAGAAATACAAATACCGAACATTGTTGTGTTTTTGTTTTGATTTGTGTTTTTTCTTCTGGTTATTAGGACGTTGCACACAATTTTTTCCCATAGCAGGCTATAGGTGATCTAGCCTACAGTAATGCTGTACTTATAAAAATATAAGGTAGCCCCTGGCAAAATCTGCAGGTCAACATATTTGCCCTCAAAAAGTCATAGAAATACTCTATCGGCAATCCAAAGGCTGAAATTCTGCTGAGTGTGCTTTCCTGTGAGTCACTAACACACCAGTTCTGCATGCTGCACAGAAGCAGCCAAAGCATTGCATTACAGGCCCTGAGCATCTTATGCCCGCTAGTCTATGCTCTTTGAGGGTCTGGGCTCAGGAGCCAGATGCGCAAAAGTGCCTTTTTGCCCAGTTACCTATAGTGGGTGGGATCTACAGGCATGCTTAGTGAAGAACTCTATGTAATACCAACAGACATCAGCAGAAATTAGGTACATAACTCACTATTCAAGTGTTCACTAGGCATCAGCTGCATTTTCTACTACTGTGTTTGATGCTTGATGTTCGTACAGGCAAGACAGTGATAGAGACCACGTATGTGTGCACATTTATGTTCCTTTTGGTGACAAGGACTCTCTGCAAAGATGAGGGGAGGGGTTCACATGTACATTCAAAGTAAGAGTGGATTTATTGAAGTGGAATCAGTAAGGGAGGATAGGATGAAATTTCCTCTTTTCCTTCCTACAAACTTTTTATATATGATATTTACATATTATATTTTATATTGTAATATATAAAACATTATATATTATAATATTTATATTTAATTTTATAATAAAAAACAAGTTTCACAACCATTAAATAATCTTTCATCTAAGGGAGCACACTCACAATTGTTAAAAAGCCCTACATCTTTATTTAGCCACTTGAAATGATACATAAAATGATAGGATTTAAAACATAACTCTTTGTGATTCTATCCCCCAATACTTTACAAATACTTTGAGTATTTAATCTCTGCCAAATACATTATATTTGGAGACTGAAATTAATACAGATTCAGCCAGTTCTTCTCAAACATTTACAGGGAGGGGAAGATGTGAAGCAGCTGATACAATGCTCAGCTGGATGGCTGGGTCGACAAAACCACCTGTTGGTTATTGGTCTTTATACACTTAAATAGTTACAGTTCATCAGGTGCAATTAGCTTATATATAGTCCGTATAGTTCAGTTAGCTTGAGGAACCCCCCAATGCAGCAGTTTTGTTTACTGCTGCCTGGCCCAGCCCCTTGTTTTTCTCTTGCATGCACACACACACCTCCCTTACTGCCCCAAGTGATGGGAAGTCCTCCTGCCTCGGCTGCTTCTGTCATCTCACTTGTATTTGCTGATGAAGATGAAGTTACGGCAAGAGATTTGAATTTGTAAAGAAGCTATGGAGTATTTGGAGTAACATCATTTACCTGGCTTATGATACCAAACCTGAAGCTTAAAAACTAGCTAAAACCAAAGTTAAATGTTTTCTAATATATATATTATTTTTTAATATTTTTTAATATTTTATTTTAAAACTTATTCCTCAAACTAAGGTAAGGAGTGGTCATTGAGGTTACTGTGGGCCAATGGACTGACTACTTAAACTCTGAAACAAGTTTCAATTTTTCATTCCTACTCCCTTTATTTCCTAAGGAAAGTTCAATCTGTAACAACTGTAAGAGAGAAGGCAAATGTCAGTTGTCAAGCCACACAGATACTAGCAATTAGTAAGCAGAAAGTACATAGTTAAATATTTCCCTGTTTATAAGGCTCTCAATTGTTTGCCAGAAATCAAAATACATTTTTGTTGCTGTGCAGTAAACTTAACTCTGTAGCAGTAACGTCATGCAGTAACCACCAACGAGGAATTAAAGTATTAGGAACACCCGTGCTACCACTTATACATGAATGACAATGTGGTATTGTCAAATTCATCTTTTTGAGGAATATTCACTATCTCCACATTGTAGCTGACTGCATGCTACATACCATTTTATAGCATTTTACTGTATTATATAGCAAAGATTTGAATAAATCTGTGTGCAATAAATGTATTCTTTTATTAGGTTTATCCCTTAATCAAATATTCATTTATGTGAGCTTCATTCTATTAAAAAATGAAATTATACAAAGGTGAGCAAAAGTGTAGATTTACAGTAGTTTAAAGCCTAATCTCATTCTCTAGGGGTAATATTGACAATATAAAAACTGTATAAATGATATTCCCTAACACTAAAATATGCTTATGAGCCCCCTGTGCATGTTATACTGCTTTACAGCCTACAGTGAAATGCATGACTGGCTTAATAAGCAAGACATTTAGAAAGGATTTTTTTCCCCTTCACAATGTATAACACGAGTAAAGAGCTCACAATCTCCCAGTACGCCAGAGCCTGTGTTAATAATTGTAATTCCCCTCTGGATGAGGTTGTCTTCCCTGAGTTGTTAGTCCAGAGTGTACATGCATCTCTTGCACTTTCTTCTAGTAACAGTATCAACATTTGTCTCTTTCTGTGAAGGTTTTAATGTCTGTATAACAGGACAAATTCAAAGCAATAATTATCGTCTCCCTATTTATTCACATCTTTCTTTTCTTCTCTTCTTTTCTCAGATTTTTTTCCCCTTGCTCTCAGGACAATCTTCATTCATCTTTGAATTTTCTGAATGCTTGTAAGGCTTTGTTTGTGTTATCTTTAAGTTAGTAATTCAGCTGCATTTCCATAAAAGTACTTCAAAACAAAATTTCCATGTGTAACCTCACAACTTGCATAAAGAAATGTGTCCTGGTAGTGTTGGTGTGGACAGTCAGGCCAGGAAGGGGAGCAGTAATGTAGCCTGCTTGCTGTGATCAAACAACACAGCTAAAATTTGGGATTGTTCAGATAATTTTAGCATTCTGTAAATTGGAAGGAAAAGTCATCGGATGAAGGAAATTCACGATCTGCTCCATAATGAGAGAACAAGGATAAATGTGTTGTATCAGTAATTATAAATTATTCATGCTACTTAAGAAACAAAACCCAGCACTATGTGTTGCTGAGAATATGGGTTGCAGAGATGAAATAATAATCTCAAAATCCCACTTTGCCAATTTAGACCAAGAAGGAGTGAGGAGAGCTGCTAAAATAAAGGTTAGGTGGAACTGAGATGTGGTTGTGTTTCTGCAGATGCAGACAGTAGAGCAGCAGGAGGGAAGAAGGCAGCCACGTGCCAGAACCCCGTGCTTCCAGAAGCTTTGCACAACTCTCCTCAAGGGGCTGAACCAGTCTTTGATGATACTGTAAGTATATTGGACACAAGCTGATCTCTCTACCCTTCCTAGGCTATCTAAATGGGGTCACCATTTTGGTTAGATTAGAGCCAGGCTAAGCTTTGGATGCAGCAAAATAAAGATAATATAATATTGTAACAATAAATATAACAAAGATGGGGCTGTTTAGTTTGAATCAGTCTGTTATTTTCTAAAAAAATAAAAAATGTATCAGAGAACACAGTTTACATTAGGCTCTACTGTTGATGAAATCCCTCAAAAAAGCCTTTCCCAAAACCTCTTAGCAAAGAGTGTTGACTAGCTTGGAAAGAGACTGTATCCAGGCCCTTGATAGTGGGATAAGGACCACAGCAGTTAGAAAAAACATGGAAATGGATCCTTTCACTACACCCCCTTCCTTCCCCCAAACAAAAAAGAAGACAAGGCCTGCAGCTGGTTCTCACATTTTTGGGCTAGTCATTCAGGAGAGTAACAACAGTGAGTGAAAATGACTTCTTTGCTAGCTGTGCTAGTTCTCCAGCAACACCTTTCCATTTATCTGTAAATCCTTTCCAAACTGAGCAGCGAAAGAGGAAAAACAGCACACTGTAAGCAGGGCATGGTTACAGGGCAGGACGCAGAGAAGAACATGAATGAGTGCTTCTGCAAGCAGCGGTACGAATGAAGCTCCATTCTCTCTATTAATCTCTCACTCTTTTGGATTGCCCCGTTGCCACAGACGTGCTCTCTGCTGTCCTACGTGGAGCTGGTGGGCTGCTGCCCGCTGGGAGCACTGCCAGGCCTAGGCCTGGGCGGCCGGCGCTGCGCCGTTACATGCTCACAGAGGTGTGCCATTTGGTTTTCCACCTCACTTACTCTGTGCTTAGGACTATTGACTTAACTCTGTCAAGTATTTCCACATCTATGTTAAAAGACCTAAAAACTTGTACAGAAAATAAGAATTGTAATGAGTAACAATAGCCAAGGACAAGAGTACGTTCACTGAATACTAACTATGCAGATGCTGGATTGCCATTGTCAGCTTGAGTAGGAAGGGAGTTAACATAGTGGTTCCTGCTGAGGAAATACTGACACTGAATTATTGAATAAATGTTTGAGCCCTTTGTAAGAATAGAAAGGTATGGACCTTCACACTCAAGAGTCTCCTGGGGGAACCTTTTCTCACCTTTTGTTTTCAGTAAATCACAAAATCTTGGCCTTCTCCATCTTGTGTGTGGTTACAGAGACAGAGATTCAGAAAAATATTCTGTACCAAAAGCACAAATAACACTGAGATCAAGATCAATGACACCATTATTTTTAAAGCCCTGCATTTGAACACCAGAAGGAGAGCTATGTAGTCAGTGAGTACTGTAATCATACGAGCTGCCTTTTGGTTAGCAGCTAATGAGACAGCTTTCACGAGTGCATTGCCATATCATAGATACGAGAGTCTACTTAGTTGCACATGAATTATTTCAGGAGGTGGGGGTAGGTTAGAAGATTTTTTTCTAGAAACACTGCAAAATGGCACAGCACAAGACAGATACTAGAGGCTTACTAGGTCAGAGCGCACAGAGTAGGGCTTGCATTAGAGACAGAGAATGGTTTGGATAGGAGGACAAAGAAAAGACCTGAGACTCAGATGAAGAGAAAGGTGAAGGACTTGCTCATAAGGAAGATATCAGGCCTCTTTAGAGTTTCTAATCACGGGGTTCTGGTCTGTTCTCATGTTAAACTCTAAGTGCTGGAACATTTTTTTTTTCAGTGAAAGGAAGACCAGGACAATAGCACTGTAATTTCTGTGACGTTGAATTTATCTCCTGCAATTGAAGACTACTCTGAAATTCCCTAGCATGGTTGGTTTCAGAGGATTGCAGCATCTGGAGGTATAATTTGATAGAATAACAAAGAAATTAAACCTCTTAAAAAACACTACACCTCCCTTCCCCCCTCTTTTTTATTGTAGGCTGGATTTAAAAATAAGCTGGTTATATCAGAATATTGAAAAAATATAGCCTGTTTTTCTAAATAAAATAAAAAAAAATACGTCCCAAATGTCAACAGTCCTTCATCTTTGGCAAACAGATAAAAATAAGAAGTTATTCATGGTTACTGACAGCTTCTGTGCTAAATCTCTGCCAGGTTATTTCACAAACAAAAGCAGCAGCAGCCCCATTTGACTCTCCCATTGCATGTACAGTGAACTACACTACCTTTGAAACAAGTTTTCACCTCAGGAAAGTCTGTGCGCCTATGCTGTTGCCTCGTTCTTGAAATTTAGAGTCTTTTATTTTTTGTGAATTGTTATCACCAAGTATTATGGTAGCATCTATTTTTTAAAATTTTAAGATAACATTGCTTTGCTGATTGTTCCAATATCCCCTAACAATGAAATATAGTAATACAAAAGTTAACTAAGGTATAAACATGCAAAAGGAGAAGTCTCCCTGCGATCATAAAATGATGTTATTTTCTGTTCAGCAGTTCATGTTACTGCTGTTCATGCTAATTAATTAAAGGAGCTGTTGCTGTAATGTGCAAACAGGGAATCTGAGAAACTGAGAGGGCTTTTAGGTCTCGGAGTGAAGTTAAGTCAATCTGGGCGCGGGCAATCAAATGTAATGAAATCACTTGTCAGTGCTAAGCTTGCAAAAACTGTGAAGTTTGACTAGGGAGTAAAAGGATTATAATTAGATTTCCAATAGGATAATAACTAAATGGCAGAAAGCAGTAAAGAGAAAATATTACTTTGTTAGCTAATGGTGCTGCTGTTCAGTTTTAGTTTTTATCAGCACACTTGTAGTTGTGCTAATTTAATTTGCTTTTATCAGCAAAAATGCACTACTCGAATGGTACTTGAATGTCATTTGCAAAAATCATTGATCTGAAGGTGCACTTAATGACACCCAGTATGTTTATTTTATGTGAAACGGAGATTGGTTGATAAAATGGCTGATGTACTATCTTGCCCAAGAGTGAGTTATGGAAGCAAGACCAGAAGGGTATCTGTGTGCATGCATCACCCTCTCCTGTACCACTCAGCTGTGCAGGGGGCTTCGTAACTACAGGAACTGTTACTTATCTGTTTTCTCAGCTAAAAAACTTCTCTCAGGCTAAGCTATGCTGGACTAGAAAATCAGGTATAGAGAGGATGGAAGTATTAGGCTGTAAAGTTCAAAAAAGTTTTAGTCTTGTCAACACAAAATTTCAATTCAATTAATATACAAAGCATAGAGAAAATGACTCTACTAAATGGAAGAGATTTATAATGCATATCAGAATCCCAGTAAATGAACAGCTTGTGTTAATAAAATCATTTTAAGAAATGAGCATAAAATATGATATGACTTAATCACTGTGAAAGATGGCTGTGCCGTATTTTTGCAATTTTCCTTTAAGCCATCTTAAGGAGATACTGGCAGTGAAACTAATTGAATTTCAAAGGAAAAGCACTGTGTGAATGATAGATTTCTGTCCAGCAGAGCTATTGACAACAGAAAAAGAAAGGTCTGCATTGATGCTAAAGCTTTTTTCTGTGCACAAGAGAAAGATTTTGGATGCTTGGAAACAGTGTTGTATTAGGGACACGTGTTTTGACCTTTCCTGCTCCTAGGGCCCAAAAAACAAAAGGCAGAAAATGAAGGGGGCAAAGGAGGGAGTGTGCTCAAATTGTTAGCGCACAGTGTTAGAGTGGCTGACAAGTTTTAGAAATTGTAATCAAAGGAAAATAGAACAAAAAGATACTACAGTATCAGCAGAAATAAAAAAGGAGGAGATGGTTCTACAGAATAGAAACACTTTGTAACCTAAATATGCTCTATAGAGAGTTCTTCAGAAATCTTTTTGATCAGCTGAGAGTGCTTAGTGAAAGAACTGGATAAACTCATCACACATTTACATATGAACAGGATTACCACACTGAAATTGTCAGAGAAGCCAATGTGTGCTGTCATTCGTTATTGTGGTGAAGACAAGAATTGACATATTCTGCTTTCACAGAGGGGTACCAAATTCAGCGATACTGAACATAACCAGTGAATATCCAGGTCTCCCTTGGTTCAGGCTTTTAACCTGAAGAAAAACTTTGTGACCCAAAGCCTTTTAGAATTGAAGAATGACATAGTTGGGATGAGATTTAAAAAAAAAAATCTGAAATAAAAATCATAGAATCACAGGGCATTCCTGCATATCAGTAGACTATGTTTAAGAAAGTAGTAGACTAGTAGACTAGTTTAAGAAAGTTCTTCTAATAAGTAAATGGCTATTGGAACTTGTGCATCATTCACCCCAGTTGTTTACATTCATTTTTGATGGAAAGACAGATTTGAGCTAACTGTAACTTTTTTTCTTCAATTAAATACAGAAATTAACTTCCTTTTTTTCCACTAGATTCTGCCCAGATGCACCTTTGACTCACACAATGTCATTGGAAGAGCACTGAGCGCTTATCTCAGCAGATATCATAAGCAGAATTATAAACGGTACGAATAATCTGCTTGTCAAATTTAAATACACATCCCAAGTGCTTATCCAATATTTTGACTATTTCTGGCAGTAACAAATTTCAAACTGCAATATTTAGTGCACAACTCCAATCATACACACACACACATATAGATGTTTTATATATGCATATATATGCATATATAAAAATGAAGTTGTAATTCTCTTTGTATTGCGTAGCATGTGAACCAAAAATCACAAAGAGACAGTAAAAATATTTGAAAGCTTTTCTATATAGATGACAGATGGACAACAGATGTGTACCAGAGGTATGCAAAGTCTAGCCTTTAACAGTTGAGAAATGGTAGAAGTTATGTTTCTATCTCTAACTGTACTGGTTCTGGCAATACCTAAGACAGAATTCTCTAGAACTCAGATGTTCTTGTAATTCTCTTTGGTATGTGCACATCTATTTAAATGCATATTTAAGATTTCTTTAAAGACCTGTGGAACTTTTGTCTTGCTAGATTTGCCTTCCTTGTGATGATTTCCATCACGTGCAGTTTATGCATTTTTTGAAAACACCTGTGATCTTGATAGGAAAGCAAGGATCAGAGGTAAAATATTTTAAAAAGATAAACCCTATGTAAAATCAGTTTTGGACTAAGCCCACATCCCTGATAGCTAAATATGAGAATTTCCCACACCTCTATTTAAACAAATATAATTTGTTTAATCTTTAAAAGTAATGATGGGAGGAGGTACATACTGCACCTTGCATTGCTGCACTGTCGTGTTGGGTTCCGTTGTGTTCTATTTCCATATCTGGGATTCCAGCATCTGAAAGATGTGACACCAAAGATTAATGCATTCCCCTTTGTCCTTCTCTCATGCATCTTTAGAAAAATATTTATAGCAAACTAGGGTGATCACCAAGTTGCACGGCCTTGCATAAAACATTTGGTCTTCATGGAATTTTCAGTAGCAAATCGTTTTCAAAATGTGCAAACATTGAATTATTTTTAATGTGCTTCACATTTGTCTGATGATCAGATAATAATCAACACATGATAATCTGTCTGTAAAATTCTCTTGGAGAATGAGGGCATCTGACATATGAAAAATAAAAGTGGAAATTAAACTGTGATAATATTAAACAAAATTGGCTTTCCCAGGCATATACCTGCAAAGTAGAGAATTAAAGAGTACAGCCTGTACCGGTCAGCATGTGTGTGCATATGCGTATGTGTTTGTGTGAGCTTGTATTATAGATAGGGAATGTTGCAATATTTCATTTAAAAGACTTAGCTCGGGATATTGTAAGGATGTTCCATCACCCAAAGCAAAATTACATGTGGTTTTTGTGTAACATTTCCAGATTTCTGAGAAGAGCCTTCCAAAATGGACTGTGCTGTTTTTTACAAGTTGAGAAAGAGTGTCATAATGAAATGCAGTTTTGAACTATTTAATTTTGTATTGATAATACCTCTGTATGCACAGTCCTTTGGGGTGGGGCTGAGGGCTCAAACACCCCAGGGTGTTATGATAACAGATGCCATTATCCACCTTGTGCCAACAAGGATTAGCGTGAAGGGTATGTGATTTGAATCCATGGTACCTCGAATCCTGGAGAAACATCTGCTTCCCTTATAAATACAGCACTTAGAAAATTACAGCAGGGAAAAAAATAAATAAATAAAAGGGAGACGTGTGTATAGTTTTAAAGTTTTTCTCTGTAGAAGCCTGTTCTTGACGTTCTCAAGTAGAGAATAACTGTACTGCTGCCTTCTCAGGTCACTCTAGTTGGACTTGTCAGTGCCTATCACAAAGATGACATTTTGCTGGTCACTGTGCAGCCTGACCGAACTCTTGTGTCAAAGCAGGGCAACTGATTAAAGTACACGTAAGAGTACTGTAAGTAGTATGACTAGTATATCTAGTTATATATGTTTATATGAAATATGTGATACGTGTATATGTAGCCCTATAAATATTTACAAGCAAATAAGTAATACTTCCACGTATGTATTTTTTTTCTTACAAAATCACAGGTGACTTATTGCATAGGGTTCCCCTTACTCAGGTTCTTTTTTTGCAAGGAAAGTTCAGGGCACTGGACTATATATCTCAAAAGGTTCTCTCTTTTCAAACCTTTTAGAGAATAATTCGTATATACGTAAAATGACAAAGTCATCTGTAACTAATAACAGCATCTGTTAAATGAGACAGACCGTCAGAGTTAAATTAAAAATATTCAGAATAGCCCTTCACATTTTGTTGCCATAAAATTGTACCTGCAATTAAATTGTGGATTAAGATGCTAATGAGCTACCTGATTTGCATGTGCAATCAGATTAGCATGTAAATATCAGCTTCTTGCAGGCACTAACATATATATGACTACCTGAGTGTGCCTGCAAATCAAAATGTTAGCAGCCAGGCCCACAATAGCAGATGTAAAGATCTGTTAATCACATTGCTGGCGTGTTGGTACCCTTTAATTTGTGGCTTCCAGAACTGCTGAGTACTCCTAACTGTAGTGCGATCGGCAGGTGCTTACCAGCAATGACAGAGTGTGGGTGAATGACCTTACTGGATAGGAGTATTTTAGTTTTTGTCTGACATTCACCACAGGGTGCTGGCTATGCCTGTGGGATATGATCTGGGCTTTTTTTCTGATCCAGTAGGGGTGGTAGAAAAGGTCTCTGCTGGCTATGTCTGCTCACTCTCCCTTGGGAGACTGCCCCTTATCATGGCACAACTACATGCTGTATATCCATGCCTGAATCACCACCGTTCACTGTCAGTACATCAGAAAAACCAGCCAGTTCCAGTGATATGCTGGACTATAAAACCCCGCAGATGAGAATGCCTCTGAAACATGTTGCTCTCATAGTTAAAGAGTTTATATCTCTTATGTGCTGCAGATAAATCACAACTCACGGTCCATTGCAGAGTGTTGCAATGGCAGTTCACGTAGACAGGCTTGCCCTAGCTTTAAAGAACAGCTTGGGTGCCCCTCACAACGAAGAACAAAGGACAGGTTAAACTGATTATTTTCACTCAGCAGTTCTGGCAGTTTTCAGAGTCTGCTTATGTTATTATGGCTCAGTTGCTAGCAGTAGCCGAAGTAGGCAGCACAAAGTTAACATGAAGACTACATGACACACAAAATCAGCAGAGACTGAATGAAACACTGATTCATGAGCCTCTACAGAGACTTCAGGATAAGCATGCACAGACTAAACCTTTGCTGCAGATCCTGAAATTACTTAAAACTCAGGTAGGCTCATTCTCATAGATTCAAACCAACATTGTACAATTTGATCAGAACCACATTTAAACAGGAGAAGTGAATCCTCCCACTACCTGGAACATAATCACCCTGTTTATCAAATTAACTGATTTGATTTTGTTTTTTCAGACTTTATTTGGGAAGTATTCAAAAACCTAGTCAGCTCATAAAGCTGATACATATTTAACAAACTTAATAGATCCTGAGGCTAAGGAAACTTCAGCCAAACAGCTTTTAAAATGAAGCTCAGCAGTTCTAAAATTGAATCTGCTGGGACAGAAGAGTTCAGAGAACCTTATAGGAACCAAATTTCACATTGTCTTAGCTGGCACTGTAACAGATTTCTCTGGTAATATATTCAGCATTTCTTGTCATGCCTGTGTAAACTGCTCTGTTTCTCTAGTTGCAGACTTTTTTTTAATTCATGACCCAAAACACATGGTCCGAAATAGATTTTTAATTATTTCAGGAAATGATTGTGTATTTTATTCTGGAATTTGCTTTACGCAGCATCTTACTACTTTTCACTTAATTAAACATAATTTTAAGTTAACTGTGAAAGGCCAACTAAGACATTACCATTTAACATCCTGAGACCGTCACCTGATGTGGCCTGTTTAAGCGCCTGTTCCACTTGTTCTCTTCTCTTTGATTCAAATTCCAAAGCTTCCTGCAATTTTCTCTTTGCCTTTTTTTCTTTCTTCAAGCGTTTCTGAATTGTAGCTGAAATGCAAATATATTGTAAGAATGGCTGTTAAAACACAATTAATATATAATGGAAAAGTGATGGCACTAGAAAAGGTAGGCAAAACTAACAGACTAAAAAGAATTTGACATCAATCATGAATGCCATGCTTAAGTTACAGTCTATTTCAGAGTCTGCTAGTGTATACACTCTGGCAAAGGAAAGAAATATTCCGAAATATTGTTAAAACTATAGGTAAATTTACCCTTGCAATATTTTGCAATCCATTTTATTTGTTTGCTTCTCCTGTATATTAGACAATTGTGAATTTCAAATCAACAATATTGTTAGAAAAATTACTAAAAATATCGAAAGAATTCTGGGAAAATCAACAGCATTTACATAACTTTTTGTGACCACTTGTTCATCTACATTCTCATCAACTTTTACAGATCTGTCTGGATTTGTGAGTGCTCAAGTCAAGGGAATAAAAGGATACCACTGCATGGGCAATCTCTGAGAGGCTTAATAAATTATTAATGCCAGAATGTGATCTGGAAACATAACTTTGAAAAATTGAGTAAACCATGTGGAAAAGCCTCTCTCTGACTTTCTATTATAATGAAGATGTGGATGTGGTGATGACTTAAAAGACAAAAAATTCTAAGGATATTGATTATTGGAGAAATTCTCCTTTGAGCCAGAAGCCAACAAAGTTTGTGAATGACGTAAGGTTTTTGTTGACTTAAATATGACTCAGGAGGTACATAGTGTGCTGTCTGCCTACACTGAGACTAAGTTTTGTTTTATAGAAATACAACAGTCTCATCTACACTTACACTGGGGTAACGCAATGATTTTGAACATCCACTGCAATTGAACAACTTCAACAGTATTTACTGGTCCTTCACAACTCGACTTCGAAGTGTCCTTCTTTGTCACCTCTTACTAAGCCTTGGTACTGTAGACAGGTCTGTTCCCCACACCTTATTTCAACTCAAAATGTGCAGGCAGATAGTACTTGGCACTTACGTTTGTGGTCTTATCTAGCTTTATCTTTCTGATTTCATGGATGTAATCTAGAAGTAGCTTTTGGCACATAAAAAAAAAAAACTCTTTCTTTCCTTTAGATGAAGATTTGAATTTTAAAAAGAAGACTGCCTGCTTTGCAATATCACAGCAAAAAATTAGATTTACCAATTTAATTCCCTATTATTATCAAAAGCTTCTAAACAGTCATGGTTTTGTCTTAGAAGGCCCCATATTGGGACTGTTTTTTTATCTCACTCTTCTGATGGAAAATAAATTATCTAGGGTTATTTGTTTCAGATCTTACACTTGGGTAGGCAACTTCTTGTACTTCATCTATTTTGTTGCACTGAAGCTATCCACAAGAAAAATTAGGTGACTAGCACCTAAACTACAGAAATCTCCATTATTCAGGAAGTGTGGGCTAGGTAAGTGGTAAGACGATGAAAAAAAATCACCTAAATACCCAAATTACAGACATATTATCTTTCTCAAAATAAGACTGATCCTCAATGCTTGGAGGATAATAGCAGGAAACAAAAGAAATTAAAGCTGTCAAATGAAGAAATCAGGCTGGGAATACACAGGCGGAGTGGTAATAATGCATGTGAAAGCCATGAAACTGAATCAGCTTTCCTCCACAGAACCAGCCAAAACACTCTGCGGCCAGTTGCCCTCCAGGAAATAATCCTTCAGTCACTGTTCTGTCTGCTTACAGAAAAGTGTGCTTCATTCTGTTTTTATTAAATTTAAATCTTTCATTACCAGTGCTAGTCCACTGCTGCATTACACTGAAGTATGAATGTCAGTTAACTCCGAGTCCTCAATAGCTCCAGCTGGAAATGCCAAAGGGTTATACATTTAATAGATATCTAAACTCCATTTTTCATTCACTCACCTCTGCTTTGCAGCTCAGCTGTAAGTTGCCTTTCCAAGCTCTCTCTTAGTTCTCTCTCTCTACAAAGCTCCATCTTTAACTCCTTCTTTTCCTGCTGTATCTGCTTCTCCTGGACTCTGGCATTGTCCACAGCCACTTTCAGAAGGCCCTAAAACACATGCAAATGTAAGAGTTGAAAATATCGTTTTGTTTCAGCAGTGACAAAATTCATCCATTGTTTCTTTTACTTCCTCTAGGAAAAATAAAATAATATCAGGAACCTATAGACCTGGAATGCAACTGTGCATTTAAAGTAGCTAAGTGTTAGATAAGAGCAAATTTCTGGCATGGTATCATTCAATATAGCTTTTGCACATTCATCCTACTGATACAGTTTATTACAAATGGAGTGCCATATCATTGCTGACCTTGGTCAACTGCAGGGAGAAGCAAAGGAGGAATAATGAGACTGGTGAATTTTAATATGACCATTATTGCCGACTATTAAGTCAAATAGACAATGCATAAAACCCTTTCATAATCAATAATGCCAGACAGTGAAAACCTAAGCATTACATTAAATAAAAGAAATTAGAATTGCAGATACAAAATAGTTTCTGAAACTTTTCAAAGAGATTGAAAAAGAAATACATTTTATCTGTCATGACACAGCCAGGCCCTATAGAGAATTATTTACCTGAATGTTGGTTAATAGTGTTTCTACTGATGAAAGACCATCAGCAAAAAGAAATGGCGCAGGAAATCCAGGAGGCAAGGCCTGTCCAGCCAGTTGGACTTTATCTAAGGTTGGTTTCATTATTGGAATGGCAATTTGGACCTCTTCTGTAAAGACAGGTTTAAAAGCAACATCAGAAAGCATTGGAAATATAGGTAAATGTAATTTCTAGAAACTGTTTCCTTGGAAGTCAAAATACAAGCATATTAGCAAAATTGACATTGTTTCAGCCTTTGGGCAGCCATGGTTGTTGCTAAGGCAAGTTTGCAAAATAATACAGAGCAATAATAAATATACTGAAGACTATAACGTAGCTCTAATAGAGTATAGACTATTATATCTCAAATTCTGCAGAATTATACTACAGAATTATAACAGTATTACGCAGTTCATTAAACCTGAACGACTTTTCTTCATTCTATCATGTTTGCTATTCTGCGACGAGCATTTTTTGTTGCTATAACCTTGAAAAAATTCTAATCAAGAAATGTATCACATCTCTTTACCCCTTTAGCATTATCCTTCCCGTACTCAGCAGTAAATAATCTCCACTGAGTCATCCCCTCCTGCTTAGCTAGCACCAACTCCAGGCTGTCAGTAAAGTGTCAGCGCAGGCTTTCTTAACAAGTACCTTGCTACAGTCAGCCTTTCTAGTCATGGGCAGTAGCCAAAATGCGTTGCTGAGTTATCTCTACCGAAGGTGTAAAGCTGGGTGGTAGGGGGTCACAGGAGCAGCCAGGGAGGAGAGGGCACTCTGGGGGCCTGCTCCTGCGATTTATTGCACAGAGCTAGATTGATGAATCTCTAATAAATTGTAGAACTGGGGCCTGGTAACTTCCCTTCCACTCCTTGTTTCAGTTACATCGAGTTGCTATAGATCCAGCTGTGCACAGACAATAGAAATGTGTATGCAGAAATAAACAATGACATTAGTAATTATTTTTCAAAAATCTTTCCGATTTTGTGATGAACCTGTACTATAACCAACAAACTCAGATTTCTGAATAGACAATTTAATGATATTTTAGGATAATAATAGATTTATCTCCTTCTCTCAGATTCCCTTGTGTGCTACTTGCTACTTCTCCAAGTATTCATTTTAAACATTAAGTTTATTGCTGAAAATCACAAAATTAAAATCTGCTAGCAGTCTTTAAAGACAAAGTCTGCACACTTGTTTTTCTCTGAAATGTTAAAAAATATCGGGGTAACATTCTAGGGAAATCCATATATATATATCTATGGATTATATAATACGTTCCTCTAATCTCCTTGGCACTTGCAGAAATCATGAATAGCTTCTCAGCAATTGCTTTTTAGTAAAGTTTGAAACTAATATATTGTCCATAAGTTCATGATGCATGTGTTTTCTAATGGCAACTGCACAGACAGTCCTGATAGTTACATTTGTCAAGTGTCTTGGTCATATTAATTCCAGGATTTACAATTGGACCACACCATATCCAAAAGGTCTCCCTTCTCCTCCTACTTCTCTTGTTTAAAAATAAATAAATAAATCAGAAGGAATCTGACCACAACGAATTAAACCACAGCGTCTCTGCAGCAGTCCTGTTATCTAGTTTAACAACCTCCAGGAGCACCTATTGAGCAGCAAGCGCTTTTTGCTGTTTCTAAAACACACCTACTGACAACTGAGCCAGGAGCATTAGCAGATTTCGAGTATTCTTTGAAATCTCTATTGAGGGAGTATTTTGTTTTCACTGTGTGAGTTCATTAAATGGAACATCTTCATAACGACTCTTCAGGACTAATAACAACAAAAGCCAGTAACCTCTTCACATCTTCATAGCTATCATTTTAGAGCTGTGTTCATGTAATTTAAACGATCCATTTCTTAAACAAACAAACAAAAACGCCTCTGGTAACAGACACAAAATTTGTGCTGATTCAGAAACACTGTTTCTCATATTTAAGTATTTTCTATCAGTGACAGAGTTTTTAAAATGAAACTGATTAGTTGTTGCATGTGATGCTACACAGAAATAATATCTAAGTCACAAAATACTAAACAGAAGTGGCATTTGAAAAAGAAAGTAATACATGAAGTATGCATAACAGAAAACTATAGCGGCTTTAAAACCTCTAGAAATCTCTCCTATTTGGAGATGAAAGTAATAACATTAAATTGGCTGAAAGGAAAATTACTATTGACTGTGAAGACAGGTTGCATGGTCTATGGTTTGTAATGTTACTGTACAGCAGATTGAAGTTTCAAAATAGTATTACTCTTCTTTAAAGAGATAGACACAGCTAAATTAGGTGCTGCTTGCTGCAGTGAGGATCAAATGCAAAAAGAATCATATTTCATCAGACCTAGTCAACACCAGGAAAATAAATAGAAATATAAGAGGTATGCAGGCAATGATTCATTTTGATAATCTGGCCCAAGAGAGACACATAGAGACAGCACACAGATCTAAGCTTCTACCAAAAGACAAATAGGACACAGAGGGTGGGAATTGGGATGACAGTGTAGCAGAGGTCACATCGATTTTCAGCAGCAGTTTTCACACAGATGAGATAACCCTGGACTCTATTTGGCCCATTGTTCATATCCTACCTGTCCCACAAGCAATAAATTTCCAAGTCCCAGAAAAAGGGCAGTAAAGAAGAAGGATTCTACTTATGACTTCTTATGATTAAGTTTTTGTGCTAACCAAACATGCTTTGCAGACCAAGGTCACATTGCATGTTAAAGTCTGTAATAGCTGAAAACTAGAAGAAGCATATTATGTTTTAGCGTATATGGGTGGAAACTGTCAAACCATTCATCATTTTTTTTCTGATTGAAATCACACTCTGCAAAGATGAATGATAAATGCATTAGAAATCTATTTCAATCTTGTAATAGGTCTTCACATTTGAATGGTGTCTACATCTTCTCCATATTCTGAGTAAGTGCACAGTTAGGCAGAAATTTATTAGCTAGGCTTAAGGAATCCTTATTGGTAAAGCAATTAAAAATGGCATATGTTGGAAGCATTTTTTGCGGATCGTCTCAAATGCATCACTTTAAAAGAAAAAAAAAATGTTGATTTCAGTGTTTTGATTTTAAAGAAACTAAAGATATAAATGCTAAAAGCAGCACTCAAACATACAGTACAACAGAATAAACAAGAAATAAAGCTAGGACAAATACTATCTAACCAAGGACACAACCAACCTTCCTATTTATTGGAACAAAGTGAGAACTACTTTTATTGAGCTTGTTTGTTAAACCTGCCATGCTTTATAATAGCATTCAGGAATCCATTTAAAGGGCAGTCTTTTTATTTTAATTTCTAGCTGGCATCCAGGTAAATAGATGAAAGCAAGAAGTATATTGCAGAGAAAAGACATACAGAGTAAATACTAACAGTGAATGGAATTATTATCCCAGGAAAGCACGTGGAAAGGTGCTAGGAAGTTTCTTGTTGTTAATGCAATATACTAAAGTATTTCACCTTCCATCTTCTGCCTAAGTTGCAGAAATCTGGATTGGAAAATTAAGCATCAACCTATGGACTAAATGCAGCACTGGGAACATGAGTAACACAAATTGCTCCCTGCATGACAGTGCACAGCCCAAACCAACAGGCAATTTTGTTTACCAGCTGGTTTATGTTCTTTCAAAAGGCATGCTTTTAAATCCATCATTCATATACCTGATATACTTGGCACGTCACATCCCTCTCAAACCAAGCTAGAAATATTAAAGCTAAAATTTACAAACTACCTAGCAGTAGTTGGATTATCAAGTTATTTACTTACATATACTTCAAAACTTACCTGTTTGGAGGCATTACATGTAAGCCTCACCTCAAATAGTTTATATAACATAAGATATTAAATAAATATGTGACATGTAGAGAAAAGCATAAAAAAATAATACAGAATTTATAGCTATTAATCTGTTAGTTACTAACCAAGACATTCGATCTTAGAAAACCTTCAGCCAGCATTAATAATATGGTTCTGGACATAGATGGCACTGGGGTCATTCCTGTTCTCTGCCTGTGGCATACAATTGAGAAAGCTAGGGACTAAAATGGTTTATCATAATTATAATTCTTTAAGCTTCATATTTGAATGATGGGGATTACATTTAACGGTCCATAGTTAGAAAAGAACAGCCTAGGTGCTCTAATGTACTATTTTGATCTTTAATAAAATAAAACAGAGCATCTGCAACACCAGCTGAGTTGTATGTCCTACCCATCTTTGCAAGTAAGATATTTTATTTTTATTTAAAATAGCATTATTTGCCAAATTATTCAAACTGATAACCCTTGACTTCCAGTTGTATTTCTAATTCACAAAGACAGTGATAAGCAATGGTGATGAAAAATGGCTATTATGGCAGAATTAGGGCTCAGATCCTAATTTTTGACAGCAAGAAGCAGTTTTCCAAAACAAGTGAGATTTCTTATTTTCTTATTTTAAACCTTGGCAAATTTTGTTTTGCTTAACTAGTAACTAGTACGGTTTTTCGTTTGTTTGTTTTTATTTTACAAAAAATATGTAAATCCTGTAATCTGAAGCACTGTTTATTTCAAATATTTTATATCTGTTGGTCTGCAAGGACAGAGTTGTCTGAAAATCCTTCATAAACATCTGCCTGCCTTTTTCTCCCTCACTCATTGCTTCTCTGCCAGGAGTTGAGCACTCCTCTTCATCAGTGAGGAGAAATACCTCCTTCTAACCTGGCCCCAATCAGACTTAGAAATTTACTGCTTTAACCTTGTGATTCAGGTGCCAAATTTAAAGTCACTGCTGTTTTTCTTAATTACAGTCCCTGAATGAACAGGGTCAATGAATGCAACTGGGGAGTATCTGATTAATCCACTGCACTAGCTTTAAATCAGACTTTACTTCATTTTCAAATGATTGATACAACTTGATAGCACACAAGCATGTTTCACTACTGAGCTTTGCCATAAAGAAACTTCACTTTAAAAATAGTATCTAATCATTATATATACATTTCCAGGCTGCCCTAAAAGCCTTTGGAAACTATCACAAAACAGTAACATCAACTATCCTCCGCTTCACGGTATCTGCTTCCCAGCTGGTTCTCACCCATGCAATCTGAAATCAATTGATTTTT